GGAAGGAAGGAAGGAAGGAAGAAGGAAGGAAGGAGGAAGGAAGGAAGGAGGAAGGAAGGAAGGAGGAAGGAAGGAAGGAAGGCAGGCAGCACAGGACAGGACTTTGGGAATTTACATTGCTCATTTAATTCTGTAAATGACTTAGTCATGGACTTGCGCACATCAGTCAAAAGCAACATTTGGCAAAGTATCTCCAGTGTGCGTCAACTAGATCAACACCGTCTCTGAAACAGACGTAAAACCACATAGTAGATGTTTTTCGCTCTGTACAATAATAGCAGATATTGGCAATGGCAGCATGCTGACCATTTTAGGCTGGAGATTCTATGCATCTTTCTTTCTCATGTTCATATTAGCCAGGAGGTAGGCATGTTATTTCCTCTATTCTGTGCCTGAGGAATCTGAGACGTGCAGACGAAGTGTCTGAATTCCAATTTTAGACAAGTGACAGAATCAAAATTTAAGTCTGTGCCTACTTACTTCTAGAGAAAGAAGTTTATCAGCCTGTCCCCTGCAGGTCCTTCCCACATTTCTGTTTTCTGGGGACTGAATATAGTGGCTCAATCTTTTTAGTCCATTGCTTACGCCTGACTCCTGGACATTTAATACTTATAAGGAATGGGAGACTTTCAGAACGATTTGTGTGTCCAGCAATGTAAGCCATTTAAAAGACGGGCTTACGTCTTTCTCTAAATGAGTAACAAAAATGATATTTGGTGTTCCTCACTCTCCTCATAATGAGCCTCTAGGGTAAGAAATGCTAATACCAAAACAAAGGAAATTAAAGAGAAAAATCATAAAGAATGCATGAATGGGCCTGGGATATGGTTTGACAGCATAGTAGCATTTGCCTAGGCCATGAGTTTGATCCCCAGCACTGCCAAGAAATGTAGAAAACATAATAGAAGTGTTTTTTTTTAAAAAAAAAGAGCAGTCAATTCTTCAATCAGAATTAAAATGTGCATATTTATAGATTAGTAAGAACAAAGCTTGCATTCAGTCCTTTGTGTCAGAAACGCTAAATTTTAAATATTATTCACTTGCAAACTGAATTCCCCTTAAGAACAAAAGTGCAAAAATGTTACCACCACAACTCTGTTTTAAACCCCGAGCAGCCTGACCAATGATAAATTAGGATTTTGTGCCACCAAGTGGTAACAGTGCTTCTTTGCATGCTGAATATGTTTCAGTGTTGCTCAACTTTTAAGGAAGTATTTGTTGAATTGCTACAATGTATTAGAAACTGACTAGATGTTTTGGCCAAAATAATATATTTATGTTCCAAACATGATACTTCAAAGCAGAACTAGTCACAGAAATGATTTAAATGAATGAATAGCAGCTGACTCGTGATCCATTAACTCTGTTAGTGGCTCCCAGATAGGTGTGATTTGCTGCTGGCCCTCCCCACAACAGTGCATTTGATTTGGTGATATCTGGGCACAGGACGTTCCCCACACCAAAGAATTTTCCAGGCCAAGATACTGAGAAACCACTACTCTGTCCACTGGGTGTGTGATGGGGAGAACACAGTGCTTTGGGGGGACTGTATGAACACACTATAGCTTAGGTCCCCAAAGCCTCAGGATTGGCACCCTAGAGAATTTGTATCCATACACACCCTCATGCAAACTGGACAGCAGCTTATGCCTTTCTGGCACTGTTGTCTTTTCTGTGCTATCCAATCTGTTTCAATTTGTAAGGCATCTGCCTTACAAATATTTCCTATTTCAAATGTATGTTTACTGTGAAGCTAAGGAACCAACAGGCTCAAGATCCCATATCCTACACATCTAACATAACAAAGTATTCACAAGCCCAGTGTACTCCGTTAGTGACGAGAAAGCAGTCATCACTTTATTCTTTGTACAAACAATGTTTGGGCCTTGCTGTATCCCAGTTCTGGCAGGAGGCATCCTGGAATAAGCTTCTTCAGAGCCTAGGAGAGTATGGGCATAAAGCGTGCAGCCCAGCCATGTGTGACCATCACTGATAATGCTGACAAGTATCATAGAGAAAACAAATGGCCTGGCCAGCTCAGGATCTGTTTATTCATGGGTTGGCAGAAAAGCTTGTCTGAAGAGCTTATGCTTTAAGTTAAAATCCCAGTGATATGACTGAACAATTCAGCCAGGCCATGAAGCAGGAAAGCAAAGCCTTAAAGGATTGGAATGGGAAACACAAAGGCCTTCAGTTAGGAAAGAGCAAATTAAAACCTACTTTTGTGATGTTCACAAAATATTAGGTTAAAAGAAAAGATTGTCTCTACTGGCCCCATGTGCTGTGAAACTGCCTTAAAGGGGAAGGACCATCATATCTAAGTATTATAGACCACAGATTCACCTTCTGAAAGGTTCCAAAGTAGCAGAACTTTTCACTTTCATGATTGATTAACATTTTCCTGATGGAGGTATTTTTGGCCTCTAATAAAAGAAAAAATAATGATTTATGATCATGAGTTCTATAGGCAGTAAATAAATCAAAGGCATAAATTACAAAGATTCCTTTTAGCTTGACTTCTACTTTCTGATTATGAACCTATGCTGACTCTCCATGCTGTGTCATAACTTGAGATGTCATGGGGGTGAATGTGAACTTGAACCTGAGCTCCCCATCTAATGATGTTTTTAGGTATAAATCATAGTTGAAAAGCAATGCTCTTGTTATACTATAAAATGTTGGAGATGCTGTGTTGAAGTTTCCTGGCATTTCATTAATTCATGTAATAGTAAGGGGCAGTGAACATAAAGTAGACCTCTTACTCTGTTATCAGAGGAGCTGATATCAAGGTTAAGCATTATGCGTAGTATTCCACAGTGACTGTGGGACAGAACTATGTTATAATCTGACTTCACCTTCCCACCGGGTGCTCTTTCAGAGCACGGTCCCTGCATCTTCTTGGTCAACTGGGTAAATTGTGTCATTTTATCTGAATGATTTGAAAGGCAACATAAACTATAATATATATTTTTTCCCACATTTTAAAGGGGGGGAGTTTAAAAAAAGACCTATCAAAATACTATCTGAATATTTTCAAATTTATATATTGTCTTCATAGCTCTTATCAGTCTTGTTGTAGTTATCTTATGATTATAGGGTCATAATTATTTATGCCTGTCCTTGAGTCCAACACTGCAGTCTACATGCAAAAGACCCCCAATGCATGTTCACTCGATGGAAAAATGTGTGATGACCACAGCTGTTTTAATAGGGCATATTGGCACAAAATGATCAGCACAATAGGAAACTAAAGCAAGGATTTTAATTGGGTTTCACTGGTCTTTTCTGATAACCATGAAATGTCCCTAGGAAATGTAATCATGTATGTCTTTCCAAACAGCCTTGGGGTTCCTCTTCTCTTGAAAGACAGTTTGTTCTCATGACATACAGGTGTAAAAGTATACTTTTTGCTGAAATTCTCATATTTTTTGCAAAAAACCCCAATTTTCCCTCTAGAAAAAAGCATTAAAATGTTCTCAGTCAATCTCTCGGCATGCTAATGTGGCTAGTCACCATGTTTACTGTTTGTTGCTACAGTTCTTTATCCTTTGCCCGCAAAGTGCTGCCATGGTGGAATTTTAGTGAAAAGTGTTGAAATGGAAGACTGTACAGAGCCCCATATTCCGAAGGATTAATTAGAGCCTCCATGCACCTGAACTCTATCTGGTGGCAAAGTCTCTCCCCTAGTGTTTCTTCAGGTTCCACATCAGACTCCATGGTAGGTGGGGATATTACAGCTAATCAAAGGTTGGTTGACCCATCACCAATGGACTGGAACCAGGACCCCAACACCCCCAGTGTATTTGCTTCCTCTTTATGACACTCATATCTGACAGAAGGCTACAACATGACTCTTAGGACCTGGTTAAGAACCAGGAAGAATAGGCTCCTCATGTAATTTCTAGTAGTTATGGAGGGATTGAACAGACCCAAAGTACTAAATTTATTTTGTCTTGGAAGGCAGAATATTAAGGAAATTTAAGTAGCTCTAGCTCTATACATATAGATGTGTCTATCTATATACAGGAGACTGTTATCTCACTTACATAATTTGTATTCTCACACACTATTTAAAAGAAAAGTTAAGAATTTCTAATTCTTTTACAATTACAGCTTGCACACAATAAACAGTCAAGTATAAGAATCTCAGAAGACTTTCATCTAAATAGTTTCAACAATCCTCCAAGGCAGTATCAGGTAAGCTTGAACTTGTCAAGACATAAGGCTAGTTCCTTTTAATGTCTAGATTCTCAAAATCTGGGCTTCATTAAGTTAAAGAGAAATATATTAGAATGTTTTCTCATCAGAAGGATGAATTCATTCACAGCGTATTTATATAGTTACTACCCTGTGCTAGGCACTAAGTGCTGAATGTGTAAGTAGATAATCATACAGCTTAGAGCCTGGACTCACTGTCAAAGGCTGGTCTCATAAAAAAACCACAGAGGGACTGGAGAGATGGCTCAGTGGTTAAGAACAGGTACTGCTCATGCATAAGACCTTAGTTCAGTTCCCAGCACCTGGGTGAGGTGACTTGCAATTGCCTGGAACTCCAGATCCGTGTCATTTGATTCCCTCTTCTAGCCTCTGAGGCACATACACACACATGCACTTATCCCCTCCCCCCCACATATACACGTAATTAAAAATAAAAACAATTTTGGGGTGATGGTCCTGGAGAGATGGCTTAACAGTTAAGAATGTGCTGGGCATGACAGTCCACAGTCTTTAATCCCAGTGTGAGGAGGCAGGTGGATTGCTCTAAGATCAAGGCCAACCTGGGATGGTCTATGCAGTGAGTTCTAGGCCAGATGGGGTTACATAGTGAGACCCTGTCCCAACAAACAAATCAAAACAAAACAACAATAAAAAAGAGTGCATATTGGTCTTGCAGAGAGCCCAAGTTTGACCACCCACAGTTGGAGGTACATTGTACCTGTACATGTACAGGACACCTTAAGCCTGTAACTCCAGCTTGAGGGGATCTGACATCCCTTTCTGGACACACATGTATGCATAATTAAAAATTTTGAACTCTTAAAATGCTTTTAAAAAAAACAAAAGGAGCAAAATTCACCTCATATTCTACCATCGAGAAACCAAGACTAGTCACTTAGGAATCCTCTATCCAATGATTATACCTGAACATGCATGAGTACAATTTTACACATGTTAATGTTCCATATGTGTATTTGGAATGTTATATGAATTAGTGAATCGAAGGCCAGGAACAGTTCTGTAGCATGTGCTTTTCGCTCTCCACCATATATTTCTACTACTGCTAATGGATAGATATACTGTATTCCTTTCAATAGACATATAATATATTAAATAATTCCCCATTTATGGGCATCTAAAGTTTCTTTTTCTGCTATTGTAAGTAACACTACTAAGAACATACTCATCTATGCACCAAATTATATCCTTAGATGGTTTTTTGAATATAGATCCTACTGTTCACCATTTAATTTTGTAAGGTAAGATTTGGTTGATTTTCATTAAAAATAGATTTATAATATATACAAACCCAGTAACTGGATAACTTTACTACAATGAAGCTAGTTGTTGTTAAGGCAACTATAAAGTCAGAAGTGGTCACATTTCCTGGTAGAGTGAGGGCCATAACAACTGGACGTTGTTCAATTCCTTATTTCCGTATGAAGTTCTGCACAAATCTTTAACCTATCTGACAAGCAGTCTGTCGTGCTCTAATGCTTTTCAAATTATCCAAGCAATGGGTGTAAAGAACTAGAAATTTGCTCTACACTCATTCTTTCCTTGAGAATTAACTTATGAGTCATTTGCCCAAGTAATGTGGCAGTTGCTTTCATAATACTTAGATGCAGGGGCTGGAGAGATGGCTCAGCAGTTAAGAGCACTGGTTGTTCATGCAGAGGACCTAGGTGAGAATCCCAGCACCCATATGGAGGCTAACAGCTGTCTGTAACTCCAGTTCCAGGGGATCTGATGCCCTCATCTGTCCTCCGTGGGCACTGCATGACACGGGTGCACTTACATATACTCAGGCAAAACAGTCATACACATAAAATAAAATAAAATAAATTAAAAACAAACAACAAAAAATCAGGTATAGAGGCATGCCCTCTGGTGGGATAAGTCTTACCTGAGCTTTGGTGGCCATTACTTATAAAGGAAGGGAGACTAGAAGCTATTCCAAATGGGAGATTTTTCATGAGCATTATACTGAAATGGATTTCTCTTCTCCCTGTCTAGAAAATCATGAAGAGACTCATTAAAAGATATGTACTGCAAGCCCAGATCGATAAGGAGAGCGATGAAGTGAACGAAGGTGAGATGAACACAAGGACAGAGCCAGGACTCAGGTCCTGATGCAGAGCTGAGGAAGGGCTGGAAACATGCAGTGTGGATGATGAGCCTTGGGAGGTGTATAGAACAAGAGCTCTCCATCTGTACTAGTAACATTTCCCATTGCTGTGAAGAAATGTTCACAAAGCAACTTGAAGAAAAGGAGGGAGGGAGAGGGAGGGAGGGAGAGAGGGAAAGAGAGAGGGAGGAAAGAAACATAGAAACAAAGAAGGAAATGAAGGAAGGGAGGGAGGGATGGAGGGAGGGAGGGAGGGAGGGAGTGACCTCACCCATGGAACGGTTCTGTTCATGGCTCAGATACATGTTCCTACCTCAGTTAGTCCAATACGTCACAGTTAATTCCCTTATAGAGATACCCAGAGGCTTGTCTCCTAGGTGATTCTAGATCTTGCCAAGTTGACAATCAACATGAGTCTTCACAGAAGCAATCAGTACATGAAATAGAGAACAGATTATTTCCCTGCAGATTTCATGGACTAGATAAAACATTATCATTTTTTATGGGACCTTGGAGGAGGTAGCTGGGGAAGGCAAGGGGATGCCAGCCCAACCCTGTAATATTCACCACCATTTTTTCAGTGTCTTTGAAGCAGATCATTAGATTTTGCTAGAATCACTTCAGTCACCAAAATACTTACCTGAAAACAAAATAGAAACCTGCCCTGATTAGAAAGTTATTTCCCCTGAAAAGGTTCAAAATGCACTCAAGCCGACTTCATCCTACCCAGAATCACTGGTTTCTTTGTGTGTTGTGTTTACAGTTGACTTCTTTTTCCTCTTGCTTTTCACAGGAGAGCTGAAGGAAATTAAGCAAGACATCTCAAGTCTCCGCTATGAACTCCTGGAAGAAAAATCTCAGAACACAGAAGATCTAGCAGAACTTATTAAAAAACTTGGCGAGAAATTGTCGTTGGAGCCAAAACAAGAGGAAAGCCACAGATAATGCAAAGACTTTCCTAGAAATTCATATTTATTTGTCCACTTGAAGCCATATTATTTTCTGATTTATTTTTTTAAGTGCCAATTATACAAAAATGAAAAGGTTAAATGGTAACTTGGATCATCTGGAGTCCTAATATCAATGCTTTTGTGATTAAACTTCATTGTTGAGGCTAAAGATTGCAGATTATGATGATTGTTTGCCTAGTCCTTTGGTGCTTGTTTTCTGAACTGCTTTCTTGGGGTTGAGTAGCTAGGGTGCCCATGGATATATCAAGTAGGGTCTGCTTGGGACTGGCCCCAGACAGAAGGGATCGGGTCTATATCACGTCCTGTCTGGTCCCCTGACAAAGTGACTTCAGGTATCGTCCTTCTCCTGCTGTTGACTCTGAGCCCTGGAATATGGGAGAAAATGATCTATTTAGAGAATTCTGTGTATCACCATCTATCTACTGAATACAATTGGTACTGCTTGGAGCAAAGGGTTTTACAGCTGAGTGTGGTGAACAATACCTAAAACCCCAGCACTTAGAAGATGGAGGGAGGTTGAGGAGCTCAAGGCCAGCCTTAGCTGCATAGTGAGATCAAGTAGGCTCCATGAGACCATGTCTAAAAAACATAACAAAACAAAGCTAACATGGGATTACCTCTATGTTCAATTTTCTGACTTACTTCTTTAAAAATATTATGCTTAACAATTAAAATGTGTTTTCTCTGCTGACCCCTGGAAACATGGTCCAGGTGTGTGTGTGTGTGTGTGTGTGTGTGTGTGTGTGTGTGTAATTGTGTGCACACGCATACAGAACATGCTTGCGCTATTTCTTTTGTAGCTAATGTGAACACTCAAAAGTTTTTTTATGATGATTTAAATTATTATTGAAAAATTACTGTTGAAATATGGACTTTTAAAGAAGTATCAAACTTCCAAACACTGTAATTCTCTGTTTCAAGCATAGCACAATTCTGTGCTGTTTCCGAAGACATGGACAGTGAACTCCCACATTCAACCTTTGAAAGTTAAGGGGAGAAACAGTGTTATGGGAATTTGTAGGTATGCACTTGTTATTCCTGGTATTTTCTATTCTTCTCCCCAAATTTATATTGAAGAATTTGCATTGATTTACATCTACCAAGAAGTTGTTATGTATTAATGCTGTGAGACAGTATCTTAAACAACAACTGTAATGAAGGTTCATTTTTTTATCCAAAGACTCTCCATATTCAGATGATGCTGGGCATTAACTAGAAACATTGCTTCAGGTTGAATAAAGAGAAGTTACAGAAGAAAATCTTTGACTTCCCTTTAAAGATGAAATAGTAACTGAAAATCTGTTTAGTGCTAAGTCTGACTTAATCAGAAAACATTTATATAACCAATTCAGAAAATACAATGGAAATTTATATTCAGTTACTTTTGTATTTGTGGGTGTTGCTAACTGAGAAATTTCTAGTGATGTAGCAAAGGTCCAATTTCAAACGTTGTGTGGAAATATTTAATCAGCAGTTGTCAAAAAAAAAAAAAATCAACTTCACACAAAATGCTGAATCAGCAAATTAAAGTAATGGAACATCCGTAACTTTGTGTGTTATGCTATGCAAGAGACTGGCTTCTATGCTAAGATTATGGAACAGTGTCTGGGCTTGAGTCCAGGGGTCTTCAGAAATGATGTTCAGAATTCCCTTTCTTTAATATGAATTGACTGGACAGGTTAGAGGAGAGAGTCAGCCCCTCCAAGTGGCTCCTGTTCTATGACTCACAATGAATTTCCTGAGACCAAATGTCTCCTCAGAGGGCAGCTGGACTGGTACCTCTTCTAATTTCCCTTCAAATAGAAAATTGAAAGATATACCAAAGTATATTAAGATTTTCAAAATAACTTCAAGGCATATTGCCAGAGTGGCCCTAAATATGAGGAAAGTCTCAGAATCGTGGCTCTTATGAGCATAGTGAATAGAAGACATTTATTCCCAGTGCAGTCACCTTTGCTGGTTAAAATAAAGTTGAAACATACCTGTCCCGGCTGCTCTTTCCTCTCTGAAGTTGGGCACCATCCGGAGGAGAGATTGGTGACACACATCTTTGCGATCAACAATTCTTTCCTCCTGACTAGACCTGCCCTCTCTTTACCTCTTCCCAGAAGACTTACTGTCAGTAAACACACCAAAAGCCATTCTTCTGCTTCCCTGCATGGTTTTACTGCCTAATTTCATCTGACTCTGAGAATTGGCATAAATTCAATATGGTTTTACTAGATGTTACGGTTTGAATATGAAATGGCCCTGCAGGCTTATGTGCTTGAACATTTGGTTTCCAGGTTGGGGGAGATGTAGAACCTTTGGGAGGTGGGAACTTGAGGGAGGTGGGGGGCGGGGGTCACTGGAGGGTGGGACTTCCCAGCTCTTCCCTGGGTCCCTGGAGGGTGGGCTTGAGGTTTCTAGCTCCTCATTGATTTTTTTCTCTCCTTCTTGTTCCAGTGCATGTGAGGTGTATGTAGATAAGCTCCCAATGGCAAGGAGCCACCTGCCAGCATGCTTTTCCTGCTGTGATGGAATTATGTTCCCTCACGCTATGATCCCAAACCAATCCTTCCTCCATGAAGTTGCTTCTTGTCAGGTATTTAATCACAGCAACAAGAGGCTAATATACTAGTTCTATAGAACAAATTACCAGAACCTACCACTTGTATAAAACTCCCAGAGACCGAAATGCCTGCACTCAAATGGGAAAATGAGACTTAAGACAATTATGAGAAATGTTTGCTGAGCGTGTACCTTCTGCCAGACTCTAATGTGTTTTCCGTCTGTCTGTTTCATTCTTGTTGCTATGAGAAATACCCCAATAAAAAGCAACTTAGGGGAGAATGGGTTCATTTTAGCTCACAGTTCCAGGGTATAGTCCTTCATAGCCAGGAAGTCAAGGCCTCAAGAACTTAACACAGCTGATCACACACACAGTAAAGAACAGAAAGAACTGAGCTCATCGTGCTCAACACTCAGCTCACTTTCCTCTTCTCATACAATCAAGGACCCACACTCAGGGAATGGTGCCATCCACAGTGGGCTGGGCCTTCCCATATCAACTAATGTCATCAAGATAATCCCCCACAGACATGCCCACAGCCCAATATGATCTAGACAACCCCTCACTGAGCCTCTGTTTCCAGGTGATTCTGGATTGTGTCAAGGCAATGAAAACTAACCATCACAAATTATCAAATTTACCCAAATGTCTTGCTTATAACAACTGCATCTTCATTTTGGAAATGAGAAAAATGACGTTCTTGGAGTGTAGATGATTTCCTCACGTGAGAAGGGCTGTGAGTTAGTAGGTCTGATTTGATTGTGGATGAGCATAGGAGGAATACCTTTTTCTTACTCATCCTACATTCTTGGCTAAGGCTCCTGGAATGAAAGATAGGTTAATAAGAGAAAAGCATACAGATTTGTGACACAAGAACCCTCGGAAATAAAGAATAAACTTCTACATTTCACACTGACGAAAAATGAGCAGTTATGGAGAAATATAACCCAGCAGAGGATGGTCTAATGGCAATGGACTTCAGGAAACATAGCAAGGTGTGTTTGCTCAGGTTCTTTGTGTCTTAAGAGATAAAGATGCTCTTCTCGGCCTGACTTTAATCCCACTATTCAGGTGGCAGAGGCAAGCAGATTTCATCTTTCTGAGTTCAAGGCTGGCCTGGTAAGACCCTGTTTCAACAACAAAACAAAATAAAGACTGACAAAAGGTCCACCATGTAATTCTGTGTGAAAATATACAGTCGTGGGTTTCCTCATTGTTTCTTCCTGCCACTCTATTCTCCTTTGTTGCATTTTTGTACTTTTTTTAAACACACAGACAAAAAACTATGTGCCTGTCTTCTGGACAGTTACACAGTGGGACGGCATCTGAACTTCAACTGAAAGGTTGATGACTGACTCAGAGTCACTGTATCCTTCCTAGGGTCAATGGCCTTTGTCAGAGGAGAAGGGTTCGGGGAAGCTGAGCGTAGCTGTTCTACTTCTGTCATTTCTTAGCTTAAAATACTCAATATGCCCTGGTGCTGCCTTCTGAAGCAGCATTTCCTAATCCTCCTCCCCATCACACACACACACACACACACACACACACACACACACACACAAACAAGTGAAAAGACTGAGGCCCTTATTGGGAGGGAGGACAGCACAAGCCAGGGTGCCTCCCAATTGGTTAGTTCCTCAAGTGGGCGGGGCCTGACACAGAGCGTGGACTAAGGAGCTGCTGGAAACAAGCCAGGGTGCCTCCCAATTGGTTAGTTCCTCAAGTGGGCGGGGCCTGACACAGAGCATGGACTATGAAGGAGCTGCTGGAGCCATCTTGGGCGGGAAGCTGGGAGCCGCAGGTAGCGCTGGTGGTGTAGGGAATGCGTAGCCAGCCACAGCAGCTCAAAGACAGACTGGACTGACTCTTGTGGACCTGGGGCCAGATCGCTGGCCCCTGACGCATGAGCAAATGCTAGCAGGGACTATGGTTTTTGTGGCGTGGTTTGATATGGCGGGCTCTGAGCCGCACAGCCTGGGGCATGGGCCTAGGCACTGAGTTCTCATTCCTTTGTAAGTTAATAAATGTACATAAAATATATTATATGGTTTGTCTGATAGCACAGGAGACCCAGAGGGAATTTGGGCAACACAGGCCAAATCTGATAAGACTCTATAACTGAAGGAATTCTTGAGAGAATAGGAAATATAATGGTTGAGTCAGTGAAGTGGATGGATTACCTCAGAAATAAGGTTTTTACTTTATTTAGGTAATAAACACTACCCTTCTAGAACTGATTCTGTAGGGAAAGCATTTTATGTCTGTTTGACCAAGTTTTCAATTAAAGTAGAGAATCTGTGTGTCAGTGTAGTCAACCAGACAGACTGACCAACCAATCCCCTGACAGAATCACTGCCTGGCCTGGTTACCAGCTTCAGATCAAGGGAGCCCCAGGCTCAGAGGTTATTGCTCCAACAGTGCTCTAGGTGGTATTCTGAGTGTCACCTGCCTCCATGTGACAGCTAGAATCTCCATTTTCTCTGTACCCTTCTTGTCCCACCGAGTGCTGCATGGGGCTCGCTGGGACTGTGCTACACTCCCCAGCAGCTTTGCTGGACAGCCTTGGGGTCACTATTTGTTGATGGGACAGCACAGTTTTTCTAATGGGTAGATTAATCAAAGGTTTTTCAGGAATAGAGCCCAGAACCCTAAAATGCAATGGAGTTGAAAACTAAGCTAAATATCTATTATGCTGTAAGACATTGGCTCATAATCTGAGTATTTTTATTTGTGGTACGCTCAGGTGTTAGGCACATAAAGAACTTTTGAAAAGTTTCTGTATTTCATGTATTCCTACAGCTAAATAACTTTCCAGACAAAATCTTGTTCAAATCTTGTCCAGGGTGAAGTTGATCATAATATATACAAAAATAACTTTGATTTTCTGTATTTCATGTATTCCTACAGCTAAATAACTTTCCAGACAAAATCTTGCTCAAATCTTGTCCAGGGTGAAGTGATCATAATATATACAAAAATAACTTTGATTTTAGAATCCGTTTTTTTACCAAGATTTGTATACAACTGAGTTTATATTGTCTAACTATATGACAGCTTTAAAAAATATGAAGCCATTTCTTTGATAGGTGGTGTAAGAAGACAAGGATGGTAATTCTTACTTTTTAGATTCTTTTGAAGATGATGTATTAGCAACCATCTTGTTTAATGGAAAGGAAATTATATCTAGTGAGATGTCAAAATATTTATAGTAACAGTAAGACTTCATAAGTAATTATAATATTGTGTGGGGCACTGAAAGAAAACCATGAGAAAATGTGTCTTAATTTGTTTGGGATAAAATTGAAACATTCCTACTAACTGAGTAGCTTGTAAATAGCAGATATGTTTTTCACTATTATGAAGGGCAATAATACATTCAAGACCAAGGCACCAGTAGGCTCTGTGTTGGGGAGGGTCCACTTGCTGTTATATAGATGGCCTGTTCTAGCTCTGCCCTCACATGGTAGATGGGGTAATGCAGCTCTCTGGAATCCCATTCATGAATGCTCCAACCTCTTGGCCTAGTGCTTCCCAAAGGCTCTGTTTTAGAGGCTTTTCTTGTTGCTGTGACAAAATACCTGACCAAGCAACTTTACTTTGGCTCACAGTTTGAAGCTGCAGTCCAGCATGGTGCATAAGCTGTGGTGGTGTGAGCACCCCTGCTGGCCACATTGTATCCCCAGTCAGGAAGAAGAGAGGTGAATGTTGACACTCAGGTCAATTTCTCCTTTTCTCTAGGAACTCCAGAGATTTGTTTCCTAGGTGATTCTAGGTCTTGTCAGGTTGACAATATAAACCATTACAAGTCCCATCTCAGATACATTCCCCTTGGTGTTAAGATCTTAATGTGAATTTGGGAGGCAGACATAAACATTCAGACCATAGTCCCTGGCATATAGAGAATCTTTATCTTTTTTTCTGATGCCATGGGCTGTTGTCATCTCCTGATGAACTGTAGGAAGAGCAAACTAAGGTGGG